TATATACGTGTTGTTATGGTGCCCCAGACGTGCGCAATCATTGCTAAATCATTGACAATTGCACAAGTATGAACGCTAAATTTTGAGCAACATTGGTGGGCGCTGTGGATAGGGTCGGCCGTTTCAAGTACCCAGTGCCATTAGAGTGGACAAACAGTCAATTGTACAGACAGACCAAACGTTTTGTGTCGAAGGTCACCAAAAAAGACTATCGCCTTAAAAAGAACAGATGGATGGCTGTATGTCAAAGCAGTGCAGGAAACAAATCGCATATTTCGCGTATAGCACTGAATCAAGGACATGTGCGCTGTAGACGTCACAGGAACTACTGTCTACACAATGCTTGTGCACCAAGAAGGACGAGAAATATTAGGAAAAAATATTGCGCTCTTTTTTGTATTTTGGGAGCCTGGTGAGTGGCATCTTGAAACAAGAAGGATCATCTACGTTTTTTTCTAGCATACCGTCGACAATGCGGCAATGGCGATGCAGATCGCGCCTCTTATACTGGTTGGCTGGTCAGTAATTTTTATTGTTCTTCCCCGCACATAAACCACGCTTCGCCGGTGGGATTCCTGGATGGTCATTGTGAACCACGTTACGGCCAAATGTGACACAATCAACGCCGTTAAACAATATGCATGATGGCGTCAGCCGTATAACAAGTTTGACTAATCGAATTACTAGTTAAGAAGGGTGGAACTAACGAGCTCTTACTGTATGAAGAACAGCGTAGAGGGACATGTGCTGAGCTGAATAAAATTGTATATGTAAAAAGAGTATTATTTCTATGCTTAATCCTCAGTTATAGGACCACTATATTTGATATTCTAGAAAAATAGATAACAATAAAGCCTTGTCCATGACGCCCACTACTATATACAAGTGTCATTTGTTCAATCCACAGCCAAGCGAGAAATTGCGGCCACGTGAAATGTTCAGCGTGATCTATTTAGAAAGAAATAATTCAAGAAACAGTTCTTGAAAACAATTCTAGGAGCTAAACTGTAGGATAAAGATCTGATCACAGCAATAAACAGGAATATCTAAGTAAAGGTGTATAATTTTAGTTCAAATACCACGAAAACATACACAAAGAAGTTGCAAGAAACTCGCAGTATACGACACACTGCAATCATAATAATGAACAACGTTCTCGCTTCTAGACAAGCTATATCTACTCCTCGTAGATTCTCACGTGTAAATATGAAGCTTCTCAATCTAAACACTTAGAAGCTGCTTCATTCTTGTTCCGGTTAATTTAGAAACAAAACAACAATCTTATGCTAAAGATTCTAGAAACCCTGCAAACCTTATTGTTGGCCTATTGTTGAGATGCGAAATCTATGTTCTCAGAACTCGTTTTGCAATAATATATTTCATGATGTGAGCTGCTAGCTGCGTCTTGTTTACAAACTGCATTTAGCTTATCAAAGACAAATTTGAAAGGGGCAAGCTTCATTCCTAAATTTTTGCCAATATACATTGCATGCATGGGTAAATATCGCCATGGGTCAGTGGCATACCACCCAAGAAGACAAGTAGATGGATGACGCTAGATCACTGGTGCGAGCTGACCGTATCGGCAGCGCTCCATAGCTAACCAGCTCTGTCTTTACAGTATCTATATACGTTAAGTACACCGTTGAAATTTCTTTCCAAATACAGAAGGAGAAAAGATTTGTCGATCTTTATCACGCCTACAATGAAAACAGCTCTTTCGTTTGGCTGCTCATGTGCAAACGAAATGTGCAATGAACTAGCAGCTCAAACTTGGTGTGAAAAGCACCACAAGGCGAAGTTCAGGCTGAAATAGTTTCATTGAACAACACCATTTTAGTTTTGTAAAACGTTATGTAAAGAAAGTTATGCAAGCTCTCAAGTCGTTAGTTTTTCTGTTTGGTGTGTGCTCTCTCACAAGGGGTGTTACGCGTGAAGCTAAAATCACTCAGCTGAAATTATGCTGATGCGATACAGCATCAGCATAATAAAAAGTTAGCAACAGTAAGATTTACTTAAAAATATGTTTTCCGGCAATTTTTATTGCGTCGATAGTCTCGGAAATACTTGTGCTTGAGGCAGGTTCTGTTAGAAATTTAAAAAAAGAACAATAAACTTTAAGCTGTTCCGAAACTTTGATGTTGTAAGTGATTGCATGTGAGTACTCCTTTTTGTGAAAAGTTTGAAAAACTTCTGAATTTTTTCAATATACACTATTCGATTTTGGTATTGAATCGAATAGTGCGTAAAAGTGTACCGCTGTTCTCGATTCGAATACGGAATCGGATACAGCGCTATTCGCGAAGCGTTACCCGACAATTGCGGAGATTCCTACACTCGTACGCAAGATATAAGCATAATAGAAGATTTTATATAGGAATATAAAATATATGCATTAGCTAATATTCCCCCCCCCCCAAAAAATATGATTCACCTATTTGCATTGCATAGAAGAAATGAAGTCAAACGCAATTAATCATAACTGCATTTCCGACCCTTTACTATTAGTGCTATCTATTGTAGAAACAAACCACACATATTCATGCATATCACACGTGATCACATGACATTACTTCACGAACAATAGCACATGCACACGCTTGATTGAGCCATCCGCGTTCCTACGTATTTTGTCACGAAAATTGACCATGTAATATGTAATTGCCAAAATTATGTACCATTCCTGAACGTGCCAGTGAGTACCCGTGAAAGCACGTTCGAAGGCAAATCGGCGGATTTTTTGCGCTGAAAAAATCGCTAATCAGCTGAGAAGCTTTGCGAGTACATAAGCATAAAGTTAGATTGCTGACAAGCAGCAGTTAACTAAAAAGAAAAAAAATTAAATACGCAAAATTTATTGAACGCATCAGCGTCCAATAAATTCTATATAATAAAATTGACGTATATACTGTAAATACTGATGAACTCTCGCTCAATGAAAGCCGTCATCGGAAATCTGACGTCATTTTCAATACAGTAATAGCATAACCAAGAAGGTAATTACTATACCAGGAGGCTACAGCGTAAACAAGTGACACCGCAGTTAATCTTTATGCCAGTGCTTCGAGAACTGCTGCTCCCCATTACCTAATGGTGCTTAGTGATGACGTTTTCAGAGATCAGCTGTATCACTTTCTTCACACTGGTTGTAAACTACAAAGGAGTTAACGCCTAAGCCACGATGGAGTCAAAACTTAAAAAGTGTACGACCGAGGAATCGGTGCAGGTACCTAGTGCATGTGCTTGAAATAACTCTCTGGCGTTAACTTTTGGCTGAATCGGCCATGAATTGTTGTCATATAAAAATAATTGAGCTATTGTGCACTCCAGATCTTGTCCTTGCAAGTACCAGCTGGAAGCAGTTTAGCTTGCCTAAGCTGCATTCTCCTGAGCCTTAAATAATAATGAAAACATGTTCTATTTTTTTGTACAATGTCTTGCACAGAGAACTGATTTCGAGGAGTTTTCTTGCACACTTCTGTATTTCAAAGTACAGAACCAAAGAAAGGCGTATCGAAATGTTACATCGCAAGACGCTATAACATTGAGGACACACGTGAGATATTACCAGCATGGTGCCATTCCGTGTGCTGTGTGTATTGTTTCTTGTCTCGGGCATTATTGGTGAGTTTCTAAACCATTTTTGGAAGTGATAGCGACATTACCCTGCTTGCGTGAGTAGTTCTTGTGAGTAATAAGTCAGAATTTTAAGTATTTCAGACTACCTCTTTCTTTCCTTTTAACTTTGAATTTGTGGTGCAAAACAAGGTGCGCTTTTATATCGTCTGACCTCCCTGTACTCCACTTACCCCATCTCCTTCTCTTCTGCATTCTGTAAAAAGAAATGAGCTCACAGCATTCCCTTAGTGATTGAATGCTTGTGATTAGGTTCGTTTGAGTTTCAAGATTTATTCTTGGGGATTCCACTTGAAGCAACGGTTTTTTTTTTCATCAATGTGTACTTACATGCGAAAATTTATTTGGAGGAGCCATAACATTAACGCAATGACAAAGCGTCCTTCCAAAATATCGATTTACTTGATCGCCAGTTTTGGCCGGTACATAATAAATACCAACGTTTCACAGGCTTTCCGCGCGTTCCTCTTACTGTGAGAGCTATAAGAATATACACTTAAAGAAAAGGAAATTCAGTGCCTTTAAAAATATTCTTAGCCATATTACTATCTTGCTAGCGTAACAAACGGGAAACAAGCACGCTGAAGGAGCTCAGATTATTTCCTCTGAGATCTCTATTCACAAACATTCCTCGACTAGAAACTCGTGCTCAAGGGATCTTTGAGGACTCCTTCGCGTCGTGATTTCTGCTGTGCGCAAAGTCTCAAAGATTCCTTGAGGTCACGGTTAGAGTCGAGCAGCGTTTGTGAACACGAACCTTAGCATTGCTAAAGCTAGTTCGTTTTAGCTGGACGTCTTCAGCTTGTTGTCAGAGCATTAAAAGTCAGGAAACCGATATTCTGTTGATATGAGAATACATCAACATTTCATGAAACAAAAGCTTACACAAGCTTATTGTATTTTTTTGTAAACTGGTATTTTGAACAAACATTGTCTTAAACTAATAATCAGTCTGGACATTGACGCCGTGCTCAAATGGTCTAGTAGCACAATTTCTGCAGAAACACAAACAACGCTGCGTAATGAAAGTACATAGGACGACAGAAATGTAGCCTAGCTTGCCTTCTTTTTAATTTGTTTCATCTGTTTGTAATAACAACTGGTAAGTTATGAATTTTTTTGGCTAGTAATGCAGTTTCTAAGAGCGTAAAGATATACACTGCTGAAATATAACCTGGTACAAAATGACAACAAATGACAAATGACAGAGAAGAAAAATATTTTACAAAAATATGTGAATTTAAACAAGGCACCTAAAAATTTTGCTATACAACTTCTGACTAAGAATTTATTCTCTGAGCCTATATTAGTTCGGAAAGATTATTTTCACACAACAACCGGTCCTTTTTATTTTTACAGCACTCAGAGCAACCCAAGACTGCAAGTTAAGTGGCAATGAATGCCGATTTGTGTTTTTTTGTCCTCGAAGGAGGAGAGTACCCATGACTAGCTGTGGGTTCCTAAAAACGTGTTGCAAGAAAAGTAAGAGTTTGTTTACTTTTGGTGCTACGGCTATTTCATCAACGATGAATGAGCTGAAATTGCGGAGTAATACTATAAAAAAATTGGGATTTACCGTTGTTGCCCTAAAATTAGAAATGCTGGGGGATAAGACAAAGAGGCCGCTCAACAGATACAATTTGTGACATGTGCAGAACATACTCGGACGAAGTATTCAGATAAGCAAATTGCAATAGCTTTAGATCGCTCCTGAAAGATAGTTCAGCAGCTGCCACATTGTTGATTGAATTGCGCTCTTTGGTAACGATGGTTAAAATGGCAAAATGTTGCAGACCAATATCATGAAAGTGCTGAAATTGTCAAAGATATTACCCAGCACAGATAAAGAAGTCAAGGTTTGGCAACCAGACCCTGGCTTTAAAACAACATATGTATCTAGGTCGGTTTTTGAAGAAAACACGTTTCTGATCTTAACGAAACTGAACAAAAATACAGGTGTGCTCAAGCACAAACAACACATATTCGCAAATATGACTAATTAGTTTTCAACGTACCTCGATCCTGAAGTATAGAATGATATCATCCTTGCAGTGCAACCTTGTGTGATGAATATTTCGAGAATTACGAGAGTACCTGTGAGGAAATTGAGCTCAGATAGCTTTACATTGAAACGCAAGGCGGCAGGCTTATTATTAAAACATAGGAAAACAGCCTAGCAGTTCTGTGGCCATGTGTAGCCGATGCTTCCCCTGAGAAATAAATCAGCAGGATACGATCAGCAAGAAAGACAGATTAGATGCCAAGGGTTGCCATGGCGGTGAGTATGGATCACTTTTATTGCCGGCTTGTAGTACGTAGTACGTAGAGTGATTACAATATGGCAGCTGACCAATAATTTCTTGTATACCACTTCAAGGCATCAAGTGGACCCAAAAGAGACTCTTGCTATGAAATGAAAGAAGTGTAAATTTAAAGGCTTGTTTTCTTTGTTAGGCAAGGTGATAATGAAAACAGACAAAAACGACAAGGACAGGACAGGGTATATTATGAGGAGTAACCACCCTCTCACGCATACTTATTTTAAAATATGGTGAAGAATCTCGCGACACCGGGATTCGAACCACGGACCTCTTGCAGGCGAAGCTTGTACTCTAACCATAACGCCATCGCTGCACCGAGATTGACGTAGCTAGAAGAATAATATTGGGGTGGAGACCATCGGCAAACATTCGGAAACCATGGCTGATAAACTACCACAATACCTCAAGATGAAGGTATATAACTGCTGCATGTTGCAGGTAGCAGGTACCTACGCAGCCGAAACCTAGAGGCTTAGAAAGAGGATTCGTGATCAGATTATATTGGGAACGACGCTGCGAGCGATGGAAAAAAATGATAGGGGTAACCTTAGAAGGCAAGAACAGAGCAGAGTGGGTAAGGGAAAAAATTTAGTGTTAATGATGTCATAGTTTAAAGTGAGAAAAGAAATGGACATGGGCTTGGCAAGTAGCGCGTAGGCAGGGTAACCACTGGTCATTAAGGGTAACTGACTGGATTCGCATCAAAGGCAAGTAGGTGAAAGGGAGACAGAAAGTTAAGTGGGCCGATGAGTTGAAAAAGTTCACGGGTATATTATTCACCACAGCAGAAAGCACAACACTGTATTGACTAGCAGAACATAGGAGAGGCCTTTTTCCGCAGTGGGTGTAGTCAGGCTGATAACGATGTTGATAAGTAACTGTAATTTAATGGTGAAGAAAAATAACTGGACCAAAATATAACTTGCCCCATGCAGGATAGAAACCTGGGACTTTTGAAGAACGCTTCCGATGATCTACCTCTACGTTATGGTGGCGGTTATTCCCCTGTCCACTTTATAGGGTAAAATGTGCATTTAAACGTGGAAGTGTCGGTCAGCGCCACCTGTTGCCGTGGCGGCAAGTGTGGCACACTCATGATTCTTGTGTGGAGTGACGTAGCTGAACTTATTACGAGATGGCAGCTGACCGATAATGTGAAAGCTTTAGCATCACTACAATATATTCAACTCAGATGTACTACTTGAAAGACCCTTTGCTGCAAGAATTTCGCCTCTTAAATACTCCGATCAATTAAAGTTGATAGCAAATAGCTGATATAGAGTAGAACGCACTAAGTACTTCTATAAAAATGTAAAATACATGCGGTCGTAACTATATTCAGATTTTTGGTGAAGCTAAAAGCTATAAATTCAAAAACTTCAATCATTTTCACTGGCCCACTCAGGTGTGAAGCTAGTCCTTTAGTCACAACTCTGTGCATCTCCATTAATAGTGCGTTCTTTTTAGGGCAGTGTTCCAAGGCGATCGTGGCACGCGTTCGGAGTGAGCGTAAATAGTCGTATTTTTTTCAAAACTATTTGGACGTACTTTTAAAATATTCTGATAATAAATAGATCCTAACCAGGTATAAAATCAAAGCTGTATTGAAGAACAGGGAAAGGGGATGCAGAATTAGTGTTATGATTCGTATTTCGCAAAGATTTAGTGCCCAAACGCGAGTGTGCGTGTGCTATGTTCTGCTATTCTTCGTGTGAAGAAGAATATTACACCGAAAATTGACAGCGCCATTACCTTCTTCAGGAAAAATGTCCGATATACACCTAAAAACATTGTTTGTCTAGAAATCGCTGTATTTTTTGCTTCGGATGGAAAAGGGACCAATTATTTACAGAAATCATACTTGATTGCAACTTATTGTTAGGCAAGAACGACGCAACTTCTTTACGTCTTGACCCCGCGTCGCGACAAAGGACCCTCTATGTTGAACTGCAGAACAACGCACAGCTGCAAGCTCAGTGCCATTGGGGCTCCAGGGGCTAACGTGCAGTGTCTTTGAGTGCAACCATTATACCTCTGGTGGCGGCGGAACCAGAGGCTGCCCGTGATAACTACTTCGTGTTCAATATCATGCCACATTAGTGTTTTAGTGAAGCTCTTTGGTCAGCATTCCCCCTTTTCCGCTTGAACACACCTGGTTTCACGAAACCAGGTGTGTTCCAAGTTTGTATCTAAAAAAGCAGATCCTGTGCTTCCAAACTTAATTGTTTACATTAGTGCACTCATCTTCAAAAGGTATAATATAAGGGCAGTGATGAGCGATTTAACTTTAGGTGTTCGTGAAATTAGTGCAATACTTGTGACCACTACTAGTATCCTCAGTAGCGAACAGCTGGTACACATTTGCGAACACAAGCACTATAGATGGCGCGTGAAACAAAATGTATACCAAGTCTTTTAAGAATTTTGTCCAAAAAAATAAAACAAAAAACATTCGAAGAAAACGGTTTTTGTTCGGCTCATTCGCAGTTGCCTTTTTCTGCTATAGCAGCAGACATCTTAATTTGTTTCAAAACATCTTTTTGGGCAGCAATTTAGAGAGTTAGGGTAAGTACTTCTTTAATTATTCATGTTAGGCTGTTGTGCCTAATGATATAATTTAGTTGAATTGAAGAAAGGGGTGGCGGAAAAACATACGCTACTTTGAATATGCTAGGACTTTTGTGTCTTTACTGTATTTTTAGAACATTTCATCGGCATTTTATAGCTTCATAATTACCTTCAGCTGGATACGAGCTTAGCCCGAAAGTTGCCCATAAAAAATTTTAACATGCACGTATGCTTCATATCTAATATTTTCATATGAACACATCAGTCATAATTATTCTCGTATATCTGTCATTCGTGTCGATTGAGATTTTCGGACTAATTTAGGAAAGAAAATAAACTACTTGGGCTTTAGATGGCAGCCCATGTGCTTGCGAGCCGTGTCACCGGGTATCATTGAATGCACTGTAATATCCCAAACAAGAAAACTCTACACCTCATCAGCGATTTTGAAACATGTGCAAACGTCCAAGCAAGCCCTTTCCACTACTGCCCTTCTACACTTAGCTTTGACCACTACCCATGATCCACTATAGGTTCTTGCTGCGATGGTGCCTTGGCGCAAGTTCTGAGAGCACAATTCCTATATGTGCACAATTTCCTAGTACATTTAACTGTGGTACCTCAGGGCATAATTTTAAGTTAACGCGAATTCTTCGAACATTTGAAGAGTGTCTCGCTGCTCTTGCCTTAACGAATGAAATTTAACTGGGGGTCCATTCGATCAGGCAAGAGAAAAATTTAATAAATGCGTGTTGAGTATAGCGTCTCATTAGAAGTGGGGGTATGTGCTCCTTCTAGATGGCTTTTTGCCTTCATTTTGAAATTTGGTCCTGAACCAAACGAGGGCAACCCTCAAATATTGTGCACTTATCGTGCCCCGTAGTTGGAAAAGAGGGGGGGGGGGTTATTACTCGGACTTGTACGGTATAGGCAGCTGATTTTAATAACGTGCTGTTAAAGTATTACACGCAGTTTATGATGCTGATCATAAAACACTGTAGGAGATACAATACAAGGTACTGCAACAGAATTCTTCCAACATTGCATGGAACACACCAATTCTAAGGTACGATCAAAATAATAACGAATGCTATAGAAAAATATGACACGCCTATATGTTCTGCCACATTAAGAGCGAGTCCGTAATATGAGCTCTAAGCGACCCTGTGTACTCGGCCATCGTGTAATAAATAAATATTTTTTACAGCGAGAGATGCCTAACCGCGTTGAATACAAGGAATAGTAGGTAAAACTATTACCGTCCCGTGCTGGAAGCGTTGCAATGCTTTTTAATACAAGCCCGTGTTTTTATCCTTACAGAGGAAAAGGGAAACTGTGCATCGATACTGGGGAAGTGCCAAAATACCTCTAATAACTGTTATGGACTTGTACACCAAAAAATGCCATGTCCCGTTGGACAGCGGTGCTGTGTCGCCACTGTGCACTAGTCAAAGTAGATATGCCATTTTTCATGAGTTTCATTTGGGCAGGTTGGTTCATCGAGTAATGCCAATAAAGCTTGCTCTTCAAAGCATATGTTATCATATATGATACCCGCCATTGTAGTGTAATGGTTATTGTGCTAGGATGCTGACCTGCAGGGTCGTGCGATCCAATCCCATTCGCAGCGGCTGCATTGTCTGCGTATGGGGGTGAAAATGTGCGGGCCCACGTACATAGACTTAGGTGCACGCTAAAAAAACATGAGATGAACTAAATTTTGAGAGTCCTCAAATGAGGCCTGCCTTATAACTTTAAAGCTGTTCTAAGGCATTGAACCCCACAATTTATTGTCTTCAGAGACGTGTACATTGCGCAAATCAAAAGTATGTTTTCACACGATGTCCAACGCTCAACACCTAAGTACCTGATATTTGTCGCCCCTGGAGATCAAAATATAGTGCAATTTTCGCCATATTTTTAGCTTATTTCAATTCAGAATAACAGGGAATGCTTTTAGGTAACGTGCCCTATTTGCTATCACTTTGATGAACCATCTGATTTGAGGGGAAAATTTCCGGAAAAAACAAGCTCATTCGACCAACCCTGGCACGCTTGATCTAACCACTTTACATTGAGCTGAAAACCAGCGAACGTATATCCCATCACGTTTTATGTAACAATAAAAAAACAGACAAAGTGTGTTATGAAAAATAAGAAATATCAAGAAAGGTCGTTGGCAAACTTTGGCAATAAAAAGCCCACTTGTCAAAGGCGTTTATACTCGCCAAAGACATGATTATCTACGTGACCACGTTAAAGAACTCTTTCCGCACAAATTTCCCGACCGAGTCGGTGTCGCGTTCATGTTGACATAAACATCGTTGATTATCAGTGAAAGATCGTCACCTCGTCAATGAGCAAGAAAAAGAGAAAGGTGTGAATTGGTAGAACAATATATTTCTGGATTTGAGTCAGAATCAACACGGAGCCGTCTGCGTGGCAAGCAGGTGCTCTACGACACCGTCAAAATATCTAGTAAACTTAATATGTCATAGTATTTATGAAAAACATGTGTTAGAATGAACATAAAATGGCACTAACAGAATGAAATATTCTTCGATTAAGAGCCCTATATGAGTGTGATGTAGTGGCAGGAGTTACCTTAACGCATCATGTATTGTGTTGCAGAGGTGTAAAATTATGTGAGGGGTCAAAACATGTTATTCACTCAGACGTATTTGTCATCACCGAGGTGAACATTTGCGTAAATTAGGATATTTCCCACGGACATGCAGTGGGCCTTTCGCCGATTCACATAAGAGAAAATTAAGGCTATTGGCACTTAACAATGGCGCTTCCGACCGGCATTCAATGCTACTTTGAAGCAGCCAATGTTATGCGCAGAGTCGTTTATGTCCTCATGGTACGCTTGAAAAATACACGGAAAACCAAAGCGGGCTTTCAGTACTAAAGGCGATGCGCATGAGGCGAGACTACCCTATCGCGAACTACTCGGCAAGGCGAAGCTGAAGCGTCCTTCAAGGTTGTTATGCTTTCCGTACTTCGGCAATGCCTAGCTCGCTGATTCTATAAAGACTGTGTAGTTCACGCTATAACAAATAGTACCCTCTCCCTGTCAAAGAACTACAACGGTCTTATAAAGGTGCTTCACTGTGGTCCTCCCATTCCAGCCACGGCGGCCGCATTTCAATATAGGCGAAATGCTAAAGCCCGCACGCATGCATTTCGGTGCACGTCGAAGAGCCCTGGGCGTCTGAAATACCACAAAGTGGAGAAAATTATAATAAGATACAGTGTGTCTCCAGGCGTAAAATCCAATCAAATAATTATCAACCCCCCCCCCAAAAAAACAAAATGTCTCAACATTCATTCCACTCCATAAATATTTTCGATCAGCAGAGTTTTGCAACCTTTCTGTAATAAACGTGTTTTTCCGTGTTCTATTCAGAAGGCGTTTTATGCGAGACTTCCAGTGTTCGTCTCCTGCCCTTCACGTAATTCTTATCAACAAATACCGCGTTGGTTTCCATGCTTTTAACACAAAAAAGAAGCCATTTAGTGCAAAACACACGTCGTTTCATTAGAGCAATTTGCACTATAGAGGATCAGGGGGAGACATGGTTTTTTGTTTGCGGACTAGTGGTAACAAGTGGGGTTTCTTCTATTTCTGCGATATATACAAGTAAAGAATTTTCTACGACCACTGCAAGCATTCGGACTACCTGCAGGCATCGTGTTAGAACTTGCTGTAAGGCTGGCTGGTAGTAAATCACTTTCAAAATAAGGCTCAAGTTAGCACTATCTCATACAATGACACACTGAAACACGCAAGTACGTATGACCACACCCCCCGAACAGTGTTTGCTGTCATTAATATTATAAGCATATGAGGCTCATATCTGTATTTGATATTGCGCATGTGCAAAAGCCGCTGTCTAGTTGAGTAATCAACCAAATACATGCATGAGCAGCAACAAAAGCAACAACACAACAGCGGAGTGGAAAAAAAAAGGCTCACAACAATATTATTTTATCAAGAAAGCCGATGTTCATCGGAAACGATGACACAGGTGGTTCTTTAACATACTGACCATAGTTATTTCCCATAAAGTGGCTTCAAACAATACACAAGTGAGGCCTTGGGAAATCTTTCAAAATATTAAGTGCAGGGTAAGGAAATGAAATATACCAGCCGCATAGAGCACTGTGCAAACACTTAACGCAAAATAAGCATTTGTTAACGAGCGCTGCTCATCTGGTGTGGTCGTTAGTACCTGCGTGTGCGAGTGGGTCTGTAAACAACGGAGTGCTAAATTGAACGTAATTACCTAAATAATATATAGAAGTCTGTGAATTAGAAGTCTGTGAGGAAGAAGCATTACAATAACAGCATAATTGGGAAGAACACCTTGCCTGGAGACAGTTGGAAACTCCGAAATGGCAAGTGCAGTTACGTGGCACTCACATCGACGTAATGATCGTTATTTCGTGAAGCAGAGGAGGAGAACCAACTACAGATTCCATGATTTTTGTAAAGTGCACTACGTGCTTCTACAGGCCCATGCGCACTTAGGTTGGTTCAGACATTGTTGATTCTGCGGTTGATCATCATGAACAATTGTGGTTGAGGCGTTTGAAATTGTTAGGAAGGTTTTAAACGCGCTCGCATTACGCGATTCACATGACGTCACTTTTATTGATAGTTCATTATGCTACAATCTAATGTTTGCTCTCTTGGAGTGAAGCGTCTCTATCATACACGTCTGTATGGGGTCTTTTTTGTGAAGAAGCTTCAAGCACCAGTGTGGCTTTGTTGTAGAATATCTGGCTATAATGCGCAATGCCTGATTTTATATTCCACTCTACCACCGTTTCAGTTGCGGAGGTGCTATGGGGCTTTTTGAACGTTAGATTAGTGTAAGAAGTTCACATTTTCAGGTTACTAATTACGGCATAGATGGCTTAACCGCCTCCGTCAAAAGTAGCATCTGCAAAAAGAAGCTGGGAAGCGTGATAAGGGTCCTAAGTATATATAGCCGGAGCCTAGGGAAGTCGCATGTCCTCTCTCGTGTACCTTGACTTTAGATGTAACGTATTTACGAACATTTCCATAAGATCACCCATCTCAGAGACACAGAAATTTGCAATAGAAACCCAGGAGGACCAAAATATTCAAACATCACAAGAAGAACGGGAAATTGTAAGGAAAACGCGCGAGAAATGAATCTCCATTGTCTATGCAAACATCACACTTGGTGGAACAAGGCCAAGTTTTAGTTTTCTCGTCGTGCGTGATAGCTATGGCGAACACCAGTCGTTGCGGTGGCTAATCGCTACGCCACCACAACAGTCAGTAGTTGTGAGTTCATAGCAACGCACGCTGTTATACCGAAGCCTAGCACCGGTGCGCTTGTGTTGGTTATTTTATCCTAAAAATTTAGACAGGCAGCACTAGCAGTGCCATGCTATAAGAAAGTGTTCAGCTTGCCAACCTTCTCTATTTATCTTCAATTCTCTCTTTGCTCCTTCTTCTGTTTTCCAGATCTTTCGTGTGTGTTTGGCTTTATTTTTTATTAATTCATACCATTATCGAAGTGCTCGAAGTAGAAGACGAAGACAACTTTTGTTTGGTGCGAGAGTACCAAATAAAAGTTTTCGAAGTTGTGTTTTACTTAGAGTGTTGCCATTTTACTACGAATGAAACTAGTGGGAGGCATGAGTGGGCAAAGACGAATAACGTAGCATTATGAAACTTTATTAATGACTGCATTTTCACTGAAAATCTATATATAGAAAGGTATGACACATGTCAACCAGTAGCAAGAATTGAAACCCTCTGATATGCGCATTAAGGTACAGTTAAGTTTTCCTTCTTGTTCGTTGATCTCCTTGATGTGGATTGAAGTCCCGTCAAGGAGATGATCGGCGTCGATGAAGCATGAGGCAGGTTGGAGGTAATGAAAACTTGAAGGTATATTACAGCGAAATATTTGCAGTCATATGTACATCTTGCCGAAGCACACTTATGATAACACAGACATCAACAGCGTCTTACTCTTCTACTTAACTTTTCTTAAGTTAGAGCCTAGAACACTGTTACTACATACAACGTACTTAGTCTCACTGTTCGACCACCAAGTGGTTATGGCCCAGACAAAAGTTGCATCGTACGGAGTCGTACTGATCTATCAGTTAAGTGATTGCAGCCTCGACTGAAGAGAAACGGATTCCATGCAGTTTTAAGTATCTTGCGGTAACAAAGAAAAAGGGGAGGTGGCCACTGCTGGTCCGCCTACACATTCTCTCATCTAATCTGTTTCCACTCAGATTAAGTCACTCTCTACCGGGCTGACCTTACTCTCGACAGCAGCGCTTCTACAGTTTAAACAGGCGTTTTGGTACTCTTTCCCATCATGTCTCTCTCTCTCCACCTCCCACGCGCTCAGGAATTCTCTCGCTCGGGAGATATCAGCATTGTAGACCTGGTACATTCATGCCTTTTCCCACAGCCAGCGAGCCGAGACGAACCTCAAAGCCGGAAGTTGAACGATCGCGCGCGGAGCGTTATTG